GGGAAGGGACTCCCTTTCGTCGCCACCCCTTCCCCACCAAGAGCCCTGCTTTCCTCCCACCCGCGTTGCTCCCCTCCCTCCTAAGGGCCCGTCCTGGATTCCCCTATGCCCCGGCAGGTGGCACTGATTCGTGCTACCTCTTAGGCCACTTTCGAGTGCTTCCGCCTCTTGCAGAGAGTGACTAGGCATCTCTTTGCAATTGGTAATCTTTACCCTGCAATTTTAAAACTAGTTTGCGATAGTTAATTTAGCGATAAGCTGTGCCTAGAAGCTGTCAGGCGTTGCCGAATATAATTGATTTCACTCATACTCCCCGATGCTCACTGGGCCCAAGAACACAAGCAGAGTTTTAAGGATAGTTTATTAATCTAGAAGAGTTAAGGCTAAACACGGAGAAAGATATTGTTCTTTCAAAAACAATAATAGTTAATTACTTTAGTCATAATTTTACACTCTTATTAATAAAATGTCAATTAGTGAAGTACTGACAACTGTTCGTCTCTAAAAATCGCTAAGCCTGCTCCTTCTTTCATCAAAATACCCATCTGCCGAAAATTTTTGACTGAATGGTACAGTACGGAAAAGTTGAAAGCTTGCTGACGGTAGTGGACTGGTCTACTTAAGATCGAATTCATAAGTATAAAAAGCGGCATTATTGTAGATATGTTCAAGCGATTGGTGTTTCTTGCAGCCACAGTTCACGCTCTCACCGCAGCATCATTTTTAACACTCTCCCAAGCGCCTGTCGACGAACAGAAACGTTTGTTGCCTTTATTTTGAAGATTGCATAAATATTAATCTGTGGATTCGCTGTTCATAACTCCTCTTTCTTTTGCACTTTTCAGTGCATATTCCATTTCTAGACATATTTTTTGTTATTTTTTCACCATTTCTTATGCTACCTTTATATTTGTCACTATTTCTTTAGGCTAATGACATTAATATTATGCATTCGGTTACTTATTTTTTTCTTCTACTATTATTTTATTTTTGTCCTTTAGGTTAATACTGAACAAATACTGGTATTACTTATTTACACCAATTGTTGTGAAACAGTGATTAGCTTCTAAAATCGTTACTGCTATGAATGACCAGACAACCAAATCCAGCTTTTTGCTTTGGAAAGAACTTGTAAAAATTTTTTTTTCGAAGTAATCCAGTGTCTTTGTCTCCAGATCTTTTTTTTGATTCGGCCCTGTAGTAATCCTTCTTAAATATGAGAATTTCTTTGTTATCTTGAGGCCAATGTGTATTTATATGGCCTCAGTGGAACTAACCAAATTCTGTCCTTAATTTTTTAGTGCAGCGGCTCTCTTGCAGGTGAAAATCTATGGCGCCGTCGGGCAATCGCCAAACTGTGGGAGGAGAGGAGACAAATGGGCAGGACGCCGATGTTCAAGCTCACTGTAAATATCTCATCGCATTGTAGAATATGAGCATATAGGATTCTAAATTGTTTAAGTGCTAACGAATCGCTCTCTGTTC